TGGAATGTTATGATAGGACACAGTAGTAGTGGTGGTCAGACATGGAAATGGTGGGGAGACAAAAATATACACGTGAAATAAACTCAGTATTTTAATAAAGTAAAAAAAAAGAATATATATTTGCCTGTTTAATATTTTTTGAAACAATTTTAGAGGAGTACATAAATTCTGTTGTCGAATTTTTTTGAAGTATATTCTACTTTATGAGAGAGCGTGTGTTCACGGGTATGAGAGTGGGGACGCCGTGCCCCCACAAGGTGTCATTGCACTGGCTCCCCTCCCACAGCCCTCCGTGTAGGCAGGACCGAGCGTGGGCCTGCCCAGCACAGTACGGTCCCGCTGGGTCTGAACCTGTGGCTGGCTGTGTTGCTGCTGGGACTCCAGTCAGTGGGCCACAGCCCGTGCCCTGAGGTCGGGCGTGTGTCGTCTGTCCAGTGAGGATGAATGGAAGTATCTTAGCGTTGGTTTTCTCATTAAGTACATTATATATGCCAGGCTGTAGAGACTCAGGAAGAAAATTAAGGACTTGAAAGTTAATTACTGCGACTGCCTTGTGTTCCAGACTGCATTGATGGTATTAGTTGTCTTTTGCAACAGGATTCTGGGAGAGATTTTTTCTCCGTTCTGAGTGTGGTTCTTGATTTCTGATTCCACTTGTTTGTCCCATATGATCTCGTAAAATCTTGACTCCTTGCATTAAGGAGGCATCTGTGTGGGAGTAGCCACTTGTCTAACCTTGGTTTTTAGATGTCGCAGCGGCAGTGTGTGTATGATTCGAGATGCTCAGGACTGTGAGATTCATGTGTGTGGTACCGCAGCATACGGCCACAGGGAGTGGAAGCGAGGGGCTCCTGGGGAGCCCGTCTCGGGACTGAGACACACTGCTGGCTGTAGGGAGCTCAGCAGTGAGTCCCGGGCAGTGCCTTTTGATACTGACTTGGAGAGGTCAGTAAGTACCCAGTGACTTATTAGTACAGCGCACGGAACTCGGAAGCATCTCTTGGCATATGACAGCTTTTGGCCTAATACTAAATATTCAGAGATTTAGTATTAAAAAACATCTAATCCATTTGGAGTCTAAGATAATTACTTTTTCACGTATCACTAATCCTTCGTCTATATAACATTTAAACACAGAAAATTCACCTAGGAAATTGAAGAGCAGCTTTTAGATATCGAACAGTATGTCCTATGTAAATTGGAATATGGGCCAGCTAGTGGCACAGCAGTAGTGCCGCGCCCTGTGGTGCTGGGTGCACGTGGGGAGGTCCCGCACTCCTCTGAAGCCTCCCTGTACACGCCAGGCGCACACACATGCTTGTCATCTAGGCTGGCTGAAGGTCATACCCTGTTGGGGCTGCTTGTTTCTCTCTCTCTCTTT